CCCAGAGAGGACTGAGATCTGAGAGAAACGGCCACACAGACACCAGGTCAGTGAAGATGGAACAGGACGAGGTGTCCCAGAGCTGAGTTTCCCTTGCAAGCGGTGGCGAGATGGCAGGCGGCCCCCCTGCAGCCAGGACAGACTCGGTGGAGCAGAGACCCACTTGCAGCCCGTGGAAAACCCATGTCGAGAAGAGATGCCTGAGCCTGAGTACGGTACGCATCTAGAGTCCATGGGACGACCCACATTGGAGAAGAGATGCCAGAGCCCGAGTATGGTACGCATCTAAAGTCCGTGGGACAACCCTCACCGATGGGGAGGTGTTTTGTTCAGAGGAGATGCCTGAGCCTGAGCCTATTGTGAATAATGGGCACAGGTAGAGACGCATTTACGCATTTACAGTCTGTATGGAGACACATTTAAAGTCTATATGATGACCCACACCAGAGCAAGTGGCAACGACTCCCTAAGAATCCGAGACTGTGGTAAAGCCCGCACTGGAGCAATCCGATGGGGTAAGAATTGCATCCTGTGGGTAGGACTCATGCTGGAGAAGTTTGTGAATTTTTCCCCATGAGTAGGGGATCCGCTGGAGCACGGGACAATGGTGTAAGGACTCCTTCTCCTTTAAGAGAAGCGTCAGTAACAACATGGAATGAACTGACCTGCACTCCCCCATTCCCTGCCCCCTGTGCCGCTGAGGGGAGGAGGTAGAGCCAGGAAGAAAAGGCAAAGGGGGATGGAGAGGTGTTGATTTTAAGATCTGGCCTTGTTTTCTTTTTATCCTTTTAAGTAACTGGTTTTGCTTGTCTTTATTCTTGAAATAACTGTTAATAAATTGTTGTGCTTTAAGAAAGCCGAGTCTGTTTTGCCCGGGACCATGGTTGGTGGGTGCTCCCTCTGTTCTTGTCTTGACCCTCAGTCCCTTTATCATATTTTTCTCCTCTCCACTTTACTGGAGTGAGAGACCAGCTGCGTGGAGTTTAGTTGCCAGAGCGGCCTAACCCACGACAGGAATGTAAACACATGGAAACTTGCAAGAAATCTAAAGCACTATGCTGTCCCTCCTGATGGAGGGAAGAATCAAGTTCATAAGTAGCAGAGATGAACAAAGACAGAACGTGTATGGTATTTGCTTCTCTCATCTTCCTTTAAGATAACCTTCTCCCTTTCTTGCAGAAAAACCCAGAAAAATTGTGGAGTATGGTGGGCATCCTTCTGTAAAAACAACTAGAAACTTCGCATGGTGCTTAATCTCCCCACTGGACTACCCTGTGGCCGGGAGCTGTGCTGTGTGGTTTTACAGTGAAACCTTTGGACACAAGACCTCACCCCTGAGCTCAGGAGCACTGTTGCGCCCCTGGCTTTCCCTTTCTGGAATTACACGGGATGCAAACAGCGTTTGGGGCGAGGAGACTTCAGTTAAAGCTGTCCTCTGGAGACACTCCTTTCAAAATCCAATTCGTGGCTTTGGCTTTCTTGCAGTCTGGGGCAAAGCAGTGGCATCAGCAGGTGTCCCCACACTGCCCTCTCGGTGGAGAGTCGTCTCCCACTCTTGCTTGTGAGTGCTCAGTGCCATGCCCGGGGCAGGCAAGCGGCCTCCCCGAGGAGCCCGGGATGGTGCCCGGTGTGGTGCTCAGCAGGGGCTGCCGGGATGTGGCCCCTCGTTTCTGCCCTCTCTGCCAGCTACTGCCCGTGTTACCACGAATATCCCATGTTTGCACCTTCTGAGGCGCGAGTCCTTCTGATGGCACACCACAGAGCTCAGCAGCACAGGGCTGACAAGCGGGGATACCAATGTTTGCTGCTGAGGATTACTGGCCCTGGTAGTTGGTGCAACCGTCAAGGGACAAAGCCAGGCTACAGCCGCGCTTTGCTGGTAACCCACAGCCATTTCGTTTAATGATTGACCAGCTTCCCGCCCTGTCATTCCTGCAGCTCTGCCCATTGGTCTCCCGGGAGCCCTTTGAAAAATGCACAAAATCTTCAGCCGTCTTCCCGGGCATGTCAGCTGCCCTCTGCGGGATGCGGAGAAAGGGGGAGAGCTCTCCCGGGCGGTTGCTCTGTCCTGCCATGCGTTTCCCCCTGCTCGCCTGTGCTGAA